CTTTTTGGAAATTTCAGAAGTCTAAACAGACCCGTGATACTTCCCTTTTAAAATAGGAAAAGAGATTGAGGGCACAGGGTCCAGGTTTCTTCTGCAGCCCTAGCACTCAATGAACAGGAAGCTCTCAGTACAGAGGCTTCCTGTTCATTCACAATGTGGAGATAGTAAATATTTACTATCAACTCAGTCATGAATGGACAGGAAGACTCTGTACTGAGCTGCTTTCTGTTCATAAAGTTGGAAGATAGTAAATATTTACTATGTCCCCATTCATAAATGAACAGGAAGTGATGTATAGCACTTCCTGTTCATTCATAACTGGGGGCATAGTAATCACTATGTCCTCAGTTATTTACAAACACAGAGTGATCCGTACTGATCACTCTGTGTTTGCTCAGTACGGAGAAGGATCGGTAAATGTTTACCATATTTACCGATCCTGAAGCTCCGACGCCTCCTGAAGCTTTCCGCCTGCTACGCCTCCTGACAGCTTCTCTCCTCCCTGCTGGAAGCCGGCAGCTGGATCGGCTCTGTGTCCCCTCCTATCCCTGCTGCCTTTGCCCACACAGTCGGGGGAGAGAAGGGGGAATAAGAGGAGGTGCCCAGCAGGGAGGAGACAAGCTGGGGATGCACCATATTTTTTGTGTTTTTTTTTTTTATTGGCATTTTGCCCATAGACCTTTCCAGTGTTCCCCTGCCGCTCACACCTACAGCTGCTGTGATATACCCAGGGTTGGCTAGAGTTGGAGCTTAGAGGGAGCAGTGATGTCAGCAATAGGCCTTATGGGATAAGGTCCCATGACCCCCTCCCATGCCCAGATGCACCAGGTACTTTGCAGAGGCAGCCATGGAAGAAGCAGCGGCAGGAGGTTGCTGGAGTGGTAGGTATAAGATGTTCTGGAGTGCGGGTGCGGGGAGCTTTACACAGACCCTGTGACTTTTCTCTGAATGGGTCCCTTCAAGGTTGTCTGTTGGTAAAAGCTGCAGAATTCTCTAATGCTGTCTTCCTCAACCCTTTTCCCCTGGAGGAACCCTTGCAATCATTTTCAGGCCTTGGGGACCCTTGCATATGTGGCCAGTGGAAGGAAGCCCCCTTACATTGGCCAACGGTGGGAGAAGGTGCCCACTCACCATGGTGGTCAAAGAGAGATATGCCTCTGTACATTGGGGGCCAGTAGAAAGTATCTGGACACCACCATAACCTGGGATAACAATCTTCCCTTGCTCAAGGAACCCCTATCAACCTCTGATGGAACCCTAGGGCTCCATGGAACTCTTACTGAGAAAGGCTCCTCTAATGGAAATGTCCTATTATTTAGCATCATGCACTTAACTCTAGCTGCAGGGACATTGTATTCACTTTCAACCTCTCTCTAGTATATGGAAATCCTATTCAGACCTTATACATTGTTTATTGTTGCATCGGCAACTGAAGTGCTAATCTGTGCTGTGGCAGAGAAAGAATGACTTAATTTCCAATTGGTCTCTTCCGGCTTTCTCTCCGGCACCTCAGCCAATTATCTGCGGCTAGGATGGTCCCGTGTCAATCACAAACTCTGCATTCTTACGATATTAGGTGAATATCAGCCTGCAGGGTCACGTTTATGAGCTTGCTGGATCATCTTCTGCCAATTAACAGAAGACCCGGAGCCAGCAGCTGCTCAGGAAGAAATATTCTGCTTCGCTTTGAAGATAAGGAAGCGGAAAATGGAACTTGTATTTTATTTATAATGACAGTTCCTGAACGCCTAGCTCCTCCATGGGCTGCAGAACAGAGTTTTAACACAAGATCAAGTGTTCTCCTTCTCAAGGGTCTTTGTGTTGGTATCTCAATTTGTTGCGCACAACCAACAGTAAAAAAAATATTTAAAGGAGAACTATGGGGTCAGTGCTTTTCCCCATAGTTCTCCTAAGGGTCTCGGGAGAACACAAACTAGCGTCCTCCCGTCACCCAAAGCTCAGTATACCGCGAGCTACAGCTTGCAGTATACTGAGGCGCCGCAGCCGGGACGGATCCCGACATTACTGTTGAGATCCACCCAGCTGCGTGATTGACAGCTAGCTCTGCCTATCTAGAGGGTTAGGTCAATTATGGTAAACACTAACTCCCAGCCCACTTCTTAACACTCCATAGAAGAGGAAGCTAATTATGATTTTTCAGCATGTGAAAAAGGAATATATATATATATATGTACTATATAAGTAAAAGTATTGGGCCCCTCCCCCTCCAATTCATTGGATTCAGGTGTTTTCCGTGAAATTTCCTTGCTACTAAATATTCCGCGGTCACCTGTTAGCGGTATTACAAAGTATAACAAAGTGGAAGCAACTGGGAACAACAAAAACTCAGCCAGGAAGTGGTAGGCCACGTAAAATGACAGAGCGGGGTCATCCATGTAACAAATATAAAAAAATAAATAGTTATCCCAATTTGGCTGCAAAAAAAAATGGAAATACACTTTAAATTTGCTCCCTTATTTAACTTGGTTTACTTTGTCTCAGCTATTTTTGTCAGGGATGCATTTTTTTAATGTAACCGCATTTGTCTTTGGAGCGACTTGCATATGTCTTCATCAAAAGTTAAAGTGTGAACTTGTAGACATTTGTGGATTCCAATCTCAGGGGGCAGGAGGAGGAAGACAAGGTGAAAAAGTTGAAACAAAATAAACACATGCCTAAAAATAATAACAATCAACTTGCATTAAATAAGAATTCATATAATGCTGAAAATAAAAACATAAATTGCTCCGTGCCACTTTTAAAGGAAAATAATATTTGGTTTCTCTGGGAGAAAGAAAAATACTGATTGGCTACTATAGGTAACATAGTGAGAGATAGAAAAAAATATTAACTTAACCACTTGCCGTCCGCCCGTTGTGAAAAAATAGACGGACGGTAAACTCACACAGGCGGGTTGCTGTAAATTGACAGCTATTTTTTCTGATTGCGCGCGCCCCATAGAGCGTGCGCACGGGCAGAAAAAACCCATCCATTGTAAACAGCCGTTACCGGCTATTTCACATACAAGCGATCAGAGGCTGTATAGCCGCCCGATCGCTTGTATGTGCTGCCTGTGTGCGCCCCCCTCCTGGAGTGCTGCCCCATGGGAGTCCCACCCTCACATTATGCCTGTGGTCCGGTCCGATCAAAATAGTGCTTGCAGCATTTTGATCGCAACGGACAGCAGGCATAATATGCCTTGTGATCCCATGCAGCTGATCGCATTGCAGCCGGAGGGCACCACAAAAAAGTGAGCCGGCCGCAATGCGAGGCCGGTGCGTTCTGGCTAGAGTCGGGCCGGAACGCACTGCATCTGGTGTGAACGGGCCCTCAAAACACCTAAAATAGTGATAATCAACTGCAGTAAACCACAACTCATAGAGTGCAAAACAGTTTATAAAGAACTCACCAGACTTCCATTCAGGAAACACTCCCACAGAGGAGTTGGCTGAACACGTGTGAGATGGAGATTTATATATTTATCACTGGATGCAGTGGCGTAACAATAGCCATAGCGACCCATGCGGCCGCTATGGGGCCCAGGCACAGGGGGGCCCGGCCAGGACACCCCCCTGATGCTGTGCGGGTCGCCTGGGTCGCTATGGGTTAGAGCGCGCCGCTGTTCAGATCACCGTGATCTGTGCAGCGCTGCGTTCTTCTCCATAGCCGCTGCTGAGTTAATGAGAGTCAGCAGCGGCGGTGGAGGAGGCTGGACGTGGCGGGCAGGAGGAGGCAGGGCCCTAATTTTGCTATGGGGCCCTGTGATATCTAGTTACGCCCCTGACTGGATGCATCAATACACGGACATTTGTTTTTCACTAATTTTTGCATTAATTTTTGGCACAGAACATTTTATTTATTAACAATTTCCTTTTGTTTTGCACTCTATAAGTGGTGGTCCACTGCAGCTCATTACCTCTATTTTTTTTTGCGCTGTGTTTATTTTTTAGGTTTTTACCATTATCTCATTAGCACAGAATCTGATACATTTGTTCAGGTATAAAAGATTAGCCCGGCACTTGTAGATATATCTCTGTTTTCTCTAAAGATGAAACGTGTGAATTCACATCGAGCAAGTGTCTGAGAAGACTTTGTTCTTTGCTCTCCAAAGTCATTATTATCTTATTGTGTTGTTCACAGGAAACAAATCAGCATTTTTTTTTCTCCACAGAGTTCCCCAAAGCATTAAGATGGTGTTTTTATTTCTATTCTTTCTCTCGCTGTGTCGTCTATTGTAACCAAATAGCATTTTCCTTTTGAAGTGGCACGGAGCTTTTTTTTTTTTCAAGCTTGGCGTTATATAAATGATTGTTCACTGGGGAGGATTATTATTATTATTGTATTAGATATCTTTAGCATTGTGCTCATTTTGTTACTTGTTCTTTATTGTGATCCTATTGGCACAAAAGTTGATACAATAATACAGATTTAAAGGAGAAGTATGAGGGGAGTGCTTTTCACTCACCTCATAGTTCTAGCCGACCTGTGACAATGAGACTGTCACAGGTCGGCTCAGTAGATCGGGAGGTGAGCGAACTCATACCGGGTTCGCTCACCTCTCGATCCTCTCGAGAGGTGAGCGAACCCGGTATGAGTTCGCTCACCTCCCGATGACACGGGGAGGGGCTGGATGGGGCTGGTTCGCAGCCCCTCCCCCGTGACACGGGGAGGGGCTGGATTCCCCTCTCCCCGCTCCGATCTGCCAGCGCTGACTGGCGGAACGGATGGGGGAGGGGGCGGGTACAGCTGGATCTGCCTCTAGATAGGCAGAGCCAGCTGTCACTCACGCAGCTGGGTGGATCCTGTCAACTAAGTCGGGATCCGCTCCGGCTGCGGTGTCTCAGTATACCGCGAGCTGTAGCTCGCGGTATACTGAGCTTAGGGTAACGGGAAGATGCTAGTTTGTGTCCTCCCGTTACCCTAAGGAGAACTATGGGGAAAAACACTGACCCCATAGTTCTCCTTTAAAAGATTTGTGCAGAATTTATATTTGGTACATTGTTTTAATCAAATTAAAAAAAAGTGCAATGGTTAGATACAATTGCACTGTTCAAAATATTAATAAATACATAGAAAAAAAATAAAGTTTTTTTTATTTTTGTGCATTTGTCAGGCTATAATGAAAGCACATTTTTTTTTTACAAAAACTAATTCCCCCCCCCTATTTTTTAACTCATTTATTATTATTTTGAACAGTGCAATTGTACCTGACCACTGCACTGTTGGCACGGCAGATGAACACTGCAGCCTGAAGAAGGCAGTGGGTGTTCATCTGCAGGCTGAAGGCTTTCATTTTTGTCAATGGAGCCTCCAGCCAGCACGTGATCACTATGTTACAGCTGACAAAGGGATCACATGCTCGTGTACCCACTCCGATTGGTTTCCAGTTGTCTTTAGGGGACCCTGGCTTTCATTGACAGCTGGGATTGAGAGCCAGAAGCTGCACAAAATGCCAAACGCTGGTTCTCAAAGGCGGAGAAGGTATATTAACGTATCCCCGGCATTGGGAAACCGTACTGTGGAACAATAATATAAAGTCTGCAGACAGCAAGAGGTTAAAAATGCACTTAAAGCCTATCACCAGCCATTTTTTTAAATTTTTGGATGAAGTGGGTTCAATTTGGTAAGGCCAATCCAAAAAACAGCTGCACGTGGCCAATCTTCACCCACTGCTTCTTTTTTTGTAAAACCAAGTTAACTCCAAGCTCATGATACCCACCTGATGGTCACAACTGGGCCTAGTTGTAGAGTAATAAGGCTACTCTACGATTGAGCACGAAAGGGTGAAACGCATTAGAGGTGAGTGACCATCAGGTGGAGATCACAAGCTTGGTATTCACCGGATTTTCCAAATAAAGAAGTGGTGGGTAAAGATTGGCAGTGCGGGGCTATTTTTTTTGGACTGTCCTTGCGGCGGAGTATGGGCGGCCCCCTGGTCAGCACCTGCAACAAACCCAAGTGGTGGAACTGTGATGTGGAGGCATATTTGAATATGGTGTTCAATTTGGTGGAGTTTCAGAGAAAAAAACTGGACTGGGCATCTTAGATAACCGCAACATCCAACGTATCCAAGTATGACAAACGTGGGTTCCATAGTGGGGTGGAGTTGGGAATTATGGAAGGGACGTCTTCCTCCTCAACAACATTCTGGGAGGTCAATTTAACCCCCAGGTGTGCAATATTTGTTGCGGCTAGACTTACCTTCTAAAAACTAGGGTAACGATAATAAAGAGGCCCCTTTTTACAGTAAAATCACCGGCAAGTGGTTTCCTAACAAGAAAAAGGCTGAGAGTCACCGTCTTGGCGTTCTTACCTGGAAGGATCCAAGGATGAGCTCAAAGACTAGTTTGACTTCCCACTTGAAGTTGTCGGGGAAGAAGGCGAACATGATGTAATGAACTCCGAAGAGGGGAATTAGCAGAAGAGTTGACTTGGCCAGCCTCCTGCAGAAAGAAAAATTGGTGTCACACCATGAGGCAGTCACAGAAACTAGGTAGAAGGATTACAGTCACATTATATCTATTCCACACTCTTCCCCATAATTGCAGGTACGCCCAAGGCTTAAAATACGTCTCCCTTCTCCGCAGAAGCCTGGAGATGACAGCTGTGTGATTTTCTGTTTACAACAGCGCATTAGCCATTTTCTTCTCAGGCAACAAAACCATTTTCTTCCTATAAAGTGATAATCTAACCAATTCCAAAATAGAATGCTTTTGAGAAAATCAACCGTTTTTCCCCAGAGCCATTATATGGCTGATGCCGACAGCTGAGATCTCGCACGTAGCGTCGTAGGAAGGCGAAATGCATGAACATGAGAGAGAGGGAGGGGGATCATTTGAAATGCTTTGAGGAAATGCAAATGTCTTGTGGAGCTTAAAAAAAGAAAATTAGGCCGTGTGTCACCTGGCTGAAGGGGATTTTCTTTGTCGGCTATAGGGTTAATTATGGGCCTCACCCAGACCCCCTTCCGGGTCTTAGAGACGCACTGCATTTGAAGGTTGGGCCCAATGTGATATTTCAGTAATATGTAGACAAACGAGACAGTTCCAAAGCCAAAAGGCGAAGGGCTGGAAGTCATGGAGGGCTTTTTAGGCAATTATAGGACCATGAACTGTAGATCCGACCAGACGATCAAACTAAAAGCATCAGGTTCACTTAAATTAGGAATGCACCGATACCGATACCGATACCGGTATCTGTGCTAATACCTTTATTTAAAATCTCCGATATCTTCCTTGATACCGGAATTTCCAGTCAGAGGGATATTTCCTCTGACCAGCAGTGCCGTAGGGGAACACGGAGCCAGCTTCCCGTGCGATCAGCAAGCTGGGCGGTGAGTAATGGCCCGCCTCCCGGCTTCCTGATTGGCCGGGAAACTGGTTCGATGCTGATTGGCTGGGAAGCCGGTTTCCCGGCCAATCACAATCAAGCCGGCCAAACAACAAGGAGCAGGCTTCCCGGGCAATCAGAAAGCAGGGCGGCATGTCTCATTACCCATCGCCCGGCTTTCCGATTGCCTGGGAAGCCTACTCCATGCCAGGGGAAGTATCGATACTCGGCATCGATATCGGTGCATCCCTAACTTAAACCCTCAATTTGCTGCTGCTTTCCCTCATCTTTCACCCATCTTCCTTTCGCTCTCTTGTCCATAGCCCCCCCCACCCCCCGTTCACCTGCTTAAGGCAAAACGAAAAGCGCTGTGTGCCTCCACTCGTGCAACATGCAGCTCTACATCGAGGGATGAAGGGAACAGAGTCCCATGTCCTGCCAACTCAGGACCACTGGTTATGTATTTTCCCTTCAGTGGGGAAGGTGAGTACACACTCTGTTGGAAGGGGGGCAGGAGTGTACTTAAGTGAATACTTTGCATGGGTAAAATACAGGTTCTCTTTAAATTTGATTGCTTTCCTAAAACTAAAGAATCAGATACATGCTGGGATACAAAGGAGCATTGCCAGGAACATCAGTCCCCTCAGATAAATAATCCACTCTATTGAATTCACACAGAGATAGGCAGATATTCCTTATTACAACTGTAGCCAAAAATATTAAGGAATGGCGGAGGGATTAATTACATCCTTGGCTACATCTGAATCCAGATGATGAATATGCAGGAATTGTATTGCAGTAGCCATGCTCCTGTGAGTGCAAATATTGATATGATGAAAAGCAACCCCAAAAAAAGATACCCGACCAATATTAGCAGCTTCCTGGTGGGGAAATATTTCGCCGGAGATTGGAGCAGGTGCCAGTTTCCTCTATCAAAACAGACATTTCCAGGAGGTAAGGCAACTTAGGTGTTTCTCGCAGCACAGGTGTACCATTAAAAAAGATAACCTGTGTAGCTATTAATTTAAAGGAGAGCTATTAATTTAAAGGAGGCTTTTCCCCATAGTTCTCCTTAGGGTAACGGGATCCCCCCCCCCCCTCATAGTTCTCCTTTAAGTAGACCTAAAATCAGAAGTATAATCAATAGTAGCAGTATGCATGCTAAAACATCCAGGTATTTAATTCCTCACAGTGTTTGTTAATGTCTGACACAGATCAGCACCTGCTGCAGCCTCTCACCTTGTGACGTGTTACAAAGTTAAAATGTTCAGACTGATCACTGGGGGAGGTAAGACTGAGAAAAGTCTTCCTCCTGCCTGCAGCAGACTAATTGCTGAGGGAGAAGAGACTGAGATAATGCTTCCTCCTGCCTGCAGCGGACTGATCACTGGGGAGGGGAGAGTGAGGAAATGCTTCCTTCTCCCTGCAGCAGACTGATCACTGGGGGTGGGGGGACTGAAGAAATGCTTCCTCCTGCCTGCATCAGACATCATCTCAGCCTAGACAAAGTCACTGGACTGTACATTGTCGGGGATTTAATAATAAAGACTTTTAATGATACTGACAGCAGCATTGTGAAGTGTCTTTCTTTCCCAGGCTGGTGGTAATAACACATATGTTGTTCTCTTCGCCTGACTCCGGAATGCAGATGAGGTTATCTCCTGATTGCTCATTCAGACAGATATATCGAATTTAGCGGCTGCGCTCCGGTTGCTGATGCCTTGTGCCAATATTAAATGGAAAAGCTAAATTGATTTACTTCCTGCAAAGTGACCTCTCCGGGTCCAGATTGCGGGTTTTTCCGAGTTAATTGACTTCTGGCAAAATTCATTTTCTCAACATTTTAAACCACGGAGCGGATTGACTTCAGTTATCTGCTCAGTTCTTAAAGAGAACCTGTCGGAATAGTTGCACGGGACTCAATCAGGACTCACGCCACGAGATGTCTTCTGTCTTCCTGGTTGAATGACACCCAACCAGAGGACTGAGGACTCTACTGTGAATGCAGGGCGTCATGGTCCCAATTCTTGAGGGGGGCGTCACCATGGCACCCTTGAATCACAGTACTGGGGCAGAGAACAGTGCTGCCGTCACCATGTCAGAGCCACTTGCTCTATCACTGAGGATCCATCAGCCCAGAGATGAGGGGAAGATGAAAGGAATCCAATGGTATCTCATGACCACCATGAAGACTTTGAATAAAGTAAGTATATACTCAAGTTCCATGTATCCATCCTGAAGGGCCTCTTTAAATTGATTTGATAGTCTCTTTCAAAATATAGAAGTCCTCAATATACATATAAAGGACTTAAGCAACCAAAAAGCCCTCCAACCAACTATAGTTAAGCCTTCTTAGAACAGAAGGTATTCACATTTATCATTCCACATTCCAACACATTTCCCAAAAATAAGAGAAATATTCCTCATTTTAGGATAGTGGGTGGAGCCATGCAAATCATTCCTTTACACCTCAACAGCCATGTGGACATCCAGACCCAGGGGTATATAGTACAGTTAAAGCCCTATATTATAGAGCCATTGATTCCAAACTGCATACATCTGTTTTAGATTTGTTGGCCATCATCAGTGCAGTGTATGGAAACCATGGACCCAACGAGACGCTATAACCGTACAGGATAGGGTAAGAAGGGTCTATACATAAATATATGATATAGTAAGAGACGAAAACGTGACATTTTGGCATTTCTATAACTCTGCTGTGGGCAGGTCAGGGATTCACAAAGTCATGAACTAAGAATGGGCATGACAGGCTTGCATCATACAGCCTTGAAAGCAATGAAAGCTCCTATAGATCCTGACAGGTAATGAATTGCAGCTTCCTGTAACCATTATCACATTGCTGAATCCCTTGCTGAGCTCTTCCTATGGCTGCTGCCTAAGCACCTCCATGCTACAGTCAGCCCCCAGTGCCTACAAGCAGATTAAATTGGCAAAATGTAATTAAAGTCACCCAAAACTTGGGAGTTAAATCCTTAAAATACCTTAACTATGAACAACAATGTATCTTATTTGTGTATCACTCGGCTGTAGATCCTCCAATCATCTCTGAATTGGTGCTGACACTGTCCTTCCTTCTGGAGGGGGGCTACGTCTGTTCCCCATGGTCCCTGTGTGTGTTGTAAAGTAGTCACCGCTCCAAGCTCACTCCCGGGATGGACTACAATCTCAATACAAATAAGTAAAGTAAACATGAGATTGTAGTCCATCCCGGGAGTGAGCTTGGAGCGGTGACTACTTTACAACACACACAGGGACCATGGGGAACAGACGTAGGCCTCCTCCAGAAGGAAGGACAGAGTCAGCACCAATTCAGAGATGATTGGAGGATCTACAGCCGAGTTATACATTGTTGTTCATAGTTAAGGTTCTTGAATGTATTTTTTAAGATTAAACTCCAGAGTTTTGGGTCACCTTAAGACTCAGAGGGAAGCTAAGGGCCATAGACGAAGCGCAGAGTAGAAAGAAGTGTAAGCTCAAGAGATTGGAATAGAACAAGAAAAGAGGAGAGGGGTACAAGAAGAAGATATGAGAAGGGAGAACTAAAAAAAAACAAAAGAAAAAAAGAGGGATGAGGGAGTGGTAGCTGGGAGGGGTAGTTGGATGAGGGTCTGTCTGGAAGTGACGTCTGAATATTCAGGGATGGAACACTCTTGACCACCTCCTGACAACTGGATTACCGGCCATTACACCTCCAATGTTCTCAGCCTGGTTTTTCAAAGAAAGAGAAAAAACAAGAAGTGACTCCTGACTTTAGTGTCACTTTACGCCTGATTGGCTCACAGTGCAAGACCCTCCCTCGCTTAGTCTGAAGACAATATGAACACAGAGTTCATTTAGTTGTAGAGATCTTTTGTTGGTCCTGATCTTGATCATGTTGTATATGAATTTCCACTTTAATGGCGACCAAGAGGCTCCATCGTGCATGCATAATGTATACATTATTATATAAACTGGTGAGATTTAAAGTGTATCTCTAGCCTAAAGGTTTTTTTTTTTCAATTTAAAGCTTTTTTAGAGGTGGAACTCATCTGTGCGAGTCACTGACATGGAATACGCACGCAACACCTTGCCTGCACAAGAATATCCACCATGA